GAGGAGGAGGAGGAGGAGGAGGAGGAAGCTGCAGCCTCTCCTCCCTTGCTTAGCTGACAGTCTTCCTTCCTACTACGGAGCCTCTTGCTCCATCGAGGTAACAAGAGCAGTGACAGCCCCAGTCAATGGCTAAGGAGGCCTTACCACTCAGCCACAGTTGCCCACACAGGTGCAGAGGCAGGGCAGAGCGGGCAGGACTCAGCTTCCCCCCCCCCTGCGGTGCAGTCCTGGGGCGGCAGATGGTGGGCGGGCAGACTCACCACAGGCATCCTCAGCTGCCGGCAGTCCCTGGTGGTTGAGGCTGTGGGTGGAACCTAGAGGGGAGGAGGCTTATGCAGAACCGCACGTAGCTCAGCCTCTGCTGCCTGCTTCCTGAAGGGAGTAGGGGTAAGGAGACTGTCTCCTTTTTACTCTAACTCAGATTCAAAGAGAGGGCACATCTGGGGGGGGGAGGAGGAGGAAGGAGCACTGAGCAAAGGAGGACGGGAACCGGGGAGAAAGAAGGCACATGATAGAGGTAGCAGGAGTAGAAGGGGAGGGAATGAGTGCAGGAGTGGGGGACAAAGGAAGCAAAGCTGGAGACTGGGGCACCATAACGACTGAAGAGAGAAACTCTCAGAGCTTCATGAATAGACGGAATCGTTGAACTGGAGAGTGAATTCCAGGGCTGGCGTGAGTCTGCTGGAAATGGAGTGGACAGGACTTGAGCCTCTGCGAAGCTGACCACACAGCTGGGCTAGAGGCTTCAGCTTGGTGTGTACACCACACATTCAGACCCCCCCCCCCAGCAGTCACTTCTGCCCCGGGCAGAAGCAGCTGGGAGCTGTCCAGATGTCTGGTGCTGAAAGATCTGGGGTATCACCAAGCCTCTCAATCAATGCCTTAGACTCACCCAACAACCACCACATGCCAGTCACTGCACTGAGCACTGGGAGAGACCAGACACAAATCAAGCAGACACAAATCCCTGTGTAAAAACTTACATCATAATGGGAAGAGACAAGACAGACACACAGCAGTCAGAAAAGGAGAGAAAAGGCTGGGAGTGTGGCTCAGTGGTAGAAGGCTTGCCTTGCATGCATGAAGCCCTGGGTTCAATCCTCAGTACCACATAATCAGAAGAAGATAGAAGTGGAGCTGTGGCTCAAGTGGTAGAGCACTAGCTTTGAGCACAGAGAGGCTCAAGGACAGTGCCCAGGCCCTCAGTCCAAGCTCCAGAACCCACAAATCACAAAAAAAAAGAAAAGAAAGAAAAAAAGAAAGAAAGAAAAGGAGAGAAAACAGGAAGAGATAATGAAGTTTAGCAAATGAACCCCGAATAGTGGTCATGTGCTGTTTCTCATAAAGGTGGCTCAGGGGTGTAGGGTGCCCAGGCTGGGGACTGGGCCCTCACATAAAATATATGCAGAGAGTCTGAGGTGCAGCTCAAGGGAAGAGGGTGTGCTTAGCAGACACAAAGCTGTGGGTTCCATGCCCAGACACTGCTTCTCCCCCGCAAGGAAGATGTGTTGATGCTGGATCATGAGTCATAGATTCCCATAGGTGGGCACTTTGCCAGAGGTCAGGCAAGCATCCTGGCCCCAGCCTCAGCAAGCTGCCCGTTCCTGCTCTGGGGACCTGTTACTCCTCAACCCTCAGACTATAAGCGTCTCTACTGTGCATGAGAAGTGCGTTTCCTCCAAATGTGTCCGGCACGGGCTTAGGCCTGAAGCAGGGCCTAAGCAGGACCTCAGCAGAAGCAGGGCTCTGCTCCAGCAAACTCATTTCCTCACTTCAGCCTCAGTTTACTTGTCTGTGATCTGAGTAGTGAACAGGGTTTGAGGAGCTGCCGAGGCAAATGTGGCGTGAGTCCTCCCTGCCATCCATGCGGGAGGGGACAGGGCCCTTTTCCCTGTGCTGTCCTTCCAGTCCCCCAGGCTCACTGTGGGGATGGAGCCCTATCAGTAAGAATGAATGAAGTAGGTGGCAGCAATATCTCATGTTCCCAGAAAGCTTCCTGGCTTTTCTGTTCACCATACAGATATGTCCTTGAAGCGTACCAGCTTGTTGGGGGTTGGCAGGGGGCACAAGGGAATAGATGGCTGATTAGGAACAGCAGAGGCTTGGGGCTGGGAAGGTAGCTCAGTGGTAGAACGCTTGCCTTGCATGCATGAGGCCATGGGTTCGATTCCTCAGCACCACATAAGCAGAAAGAGCCGGAAGTGGGACTGAGGCTCAAGTGGTTGAGCACTAGTCTGCAGCTGAAGAGCTGAGGGACAGCGCCCTGACCCAGAGTTCAGGCCCCACGACCGACAAAAACAAAACAAAAGGAGCAGCAGAGGCTGAGACCCCAATTCTGAGTGGGTCTTCCAGTGTGGGCCCCTGGAATCTTGTCCTGGAGACACTCAGGTGCAAGAAGGCCTGAGGGCAGAGAAGTTTTGGAGTCCTAGCACACTCCCCTTTCCTGTGAGACTCCCAGTGCTCATCCCCAAATCCAGGCTGTGGGAGACTCACTCATGACCTTACCTAACTCTGCTGGCAAGAGCACTTTCCCTCTCAGGCCTACAATGCCCAAAGACATCCCACTGGGGCCCGCCCCTCAAAGATTCCCCCCCCCAACAGTGCCATCCTGGGCACTAAACCTTTATCCCAGGCTCCTTTTAAGGAGACATTGCGTTTACTCTGCAGCTGTTTTCTGGGCTGGGGTTAAAAAAGGGCTTTGAGAATCCTTGTTCCAAGGACATGATTTTGGGGGTGTGCAGGACTCTGTGATCTCAGCATTTAGTGTGAATCAACCACATGACAGATGCTCAGAGGGGAGCGGATGGATGGAAGGACGGATGGAGATGTCATTCTGTTCACTTCCACATCTTAAGAATGATGCAAGGTGAGAGATTAGAGCCTCAAGGACTCTGGGCAGGGCTAATCTTAGCTTCCTTGACACCAGTGTGGCTGAGGAACTGATAGACTTCATTCATTCATTCATCCATTCACCCACTCATCTATTCACACACATGGGCTTATATGTGCTCAGTGAGAAGTCGGCTCCAAGGACCAGGAGAGGATTATTAACTAAGCATGGGGGAGGGAGACAAGGCTGGCTTTCTGGAGGTAAACCTGAAGGTCTTTTTGGAGGACTGACCTCAGGGTTCCAGCCCTCATGGCATTTTTTCCAGGTACAGAAATAATGCTTGGAGCTGCTTGGTACATTGGCAATCACAATCCAACAGCTGTGGTCCCATGGTCCCAACAAATCCATCTTGCTCCCTCTTTTATCCATCCACCCCCCCCCCCATCATTCCTCCTTGCTGTCAGCGTTTGTCAGCCTCCCCACACCCAGAGAAAGTATCCGCATACTGCAGACACTGAAGACATTCAAAGGAACCAGGATCTTATGGCAGAATTCCAAGCAGCATGAAACATAAAAGGGACCCCCGGAGAGCACTGGGGATCGGGCCCAGCCCTCCCGCCCCATGCCTTCCTCCTGTGCCTCCCACCAGCCACTCACCTCATCCACCCAGCCACATCTGAATACGAGCCCCTCTGCCTCCTGCAAACCAGAGCAGGGCTGGATGAGGCGAAAATGCTTCATCACGGTCTGCTTCACCATGCGGAGTCGGAACTCCCTTCCCCCTCCCCACGACTCCCTAGCGCACTCTCCTTCCAAGAAAACGTGGTTAAAGGGGCAGCGCCATCATACTCCCAGCGCTGGGGGTCTGCCTGGCACCAGGGGCTGGGAATGAGGCTGAGGGCAAAGAAAAAATGCGACGGCAGAGGTCTTTCCTGGGAGATCTGTCTGGCTTCATCATGGGGACCCAATCGAAAAATAAAATGAGAGTAAATTGGGGGTGGTACTGGGGCTTGAGGGAGGTTCAGATCTAGAATGGGAATGCACACTGATTTCCCAGGGGGAATCAGGGCTCCGGGCATTTCAGGGGCTCCTTTCAGGCTCCCAGTGGAGGAGGGAGACAACTCAAGCCCATGTAGAGAACTTTACAGAAAGCAGGGAACAAGATCCCTAGTAGACTTTGGCGTGTCACTGTGTGCCCCTCAGGCTGCTCCCCCAGCCCCTCCTCAGCTCCCGTCCACACAGCACTGGGGCCCACCAGTCGGGCCTGCGGAGGCCTTGCACACGTCCCTCCCCTCCCGGTAGGGAAACGGTTAACTCATTCCCCTCCAAGAAGGAGTGGGCTCTGTCCGTGGTGCTGAAGTGCTAGCCACATCGCCCTTCACTAGGCCAGTTTGCGGCGAACCAAAAACCAAGAGCCTCCGAACGCAGCGGCTGCGCGCGTCCCCAAATCCAAGGGACCCCCCCCCAGCCCCATTAGGGAGAAAGGGACTGGCACTCCCAGCACTTCCCAGAGAGCAAGAGGGGGTGTCTACGGAGGTGGCTGGTTGTCTGCTGCGGGGGCGAGGGTGAGAGTCCCCCTGTGGGGGACAAGCTGAGGCTGAGGCGCCGAGGGGAGGAGGAAGACTGGACTTTCCCATGGTGGGAACGCAGTCACATCCACAGGCAATATGTGGGTTCCCTCCCCCCAAAGGGGAAGCTGGGGGCCCGAGGTTGCAGCTTACCCCTAGGACCAGCCCCACACCCCCGCCTTGTACGTATAGGAAACGCACTTGTCCAAGGTCACTCAGCCAGCAAACCAGAGTGGACCCCCCCTCCCCAGGGTGCAGCACACAGCTTGGGTGTTCCTGCTCCTACACCCAGCCCCGGTTCCTCCTGCAGGCCCAGGGGACCCTCCGCCTTCTCTGAGCGCCCCTCCTGCGGTTTCCACTTCAAGTCTTGGGGGACACTCCTTTTGGACAGCTATGTCCCCGCGCTCATCCTGGGCTTCCTTTCCTCCACTCTTGCCAGGGTCTCCCGTATCCCCCATTCGGGGCAGCCTGGCCGTCCTTCCCCACGCCAGGCTCCCCTCCCGAAATCGAGTGGCCCTCAATGAGGGGGCCATTGCCCCTCCATCACGCAGTCCCCGTCCCCCATGGGCGTCCCCACCCACGGCTGCCTCGCTCCCTCCCCTACTCCGGGCCGGCCGTACCCCCTACGCCAAGAGGCTAACTCTGAGGGGAACCTTGCGCCCCTCTCCTCCTGCCGCCGCGCCCCGCACCGATGCCTCCTCGTCTCCTTGTCCTGTACCTCGAGTGCCCCCAGAGCTCCCCATTGGCCCCAGAGGCCTCTGCCTCCCCCCACCCCACCCCACCCCACCCCCACCCAGGCCCTGACCTCGGGAGGCTCGGCGGACGCTGCGACGC